AATAATATCTAACATAATAAAATCATCTAACAAATATAGAGAGCCATAATAAGTTGTATCCAAATACAAACTCAAATTAATATTGTTAAAATTTAAAAAAAATTTAAACTAAGAGGAATTGTGATAAAAATCAAATTTCATCAAATATTAAGAGTAAAAAGGACATCATGTAGGATAAGGGTTTTTCCACCAAGCATGTATAGCTTACAGGTGCCAATTTCCCTTACTTCAATCCATGAATTATTCTTATGTAGATTCATTTTATTCCACATGAAATTTGACAAAAATCCATAAACGCGTTCATATCTTGTGCTACATGGTATGTGGTCCTTAAGTCTATAATCCACAAAGGATATAATTCACTCATTATAATAGTACTAGAAACAAACAAAATACTTTTAGCATCAAGTAAAAATGCTTTAAAGGTTTGTACTTTTTTTGGCTCGTTACATTTACGAACAAAGTGACCCCTTTTGCCATCTTTTGCTAATCTATCCATTCTTTGTTGACCTATATGGCCAAGTCTAGCATGTCAAATATTCACATCAATATTTGTATCAAAATCAATCACAAAAAAAAAGTTAGATTATTGTATGGAATAATATCTAACATAATAAAATCATTTAACAAATATAGAGAGCCATAATAAGTTGTATCCAAATACAAACTCAAATTAATATTGTTAAAATTCAAAACAAATTTTAAACTAAGAGGAACTGTAATAGAAATCAAATTTCATCAAATATTAAGAGTAAAAAAGACATCATGTAGGATAAGGGTTTTTCCACCAAGCATGTATAGCTTACAAGTGCCAATTTCCCTTACTTCAATCCAAGAATTATTCTTACGTAGATTCATTTTGTTCCACATAAAATTTGATAAAAATCCATGAACGCGTTCATATCTTGTGCTACATGGTATGTGGTCCCTAAGTCTATAATCCACGAAGGATATAATTCACTCATTATAATAGTACTAGAAACAAATAAAATACTTTTAGCATCAAGTAAAAATACTTTAAAGGTTTGTACCTTTTTTGGCTCGTTACATTTACGAACAAAGTGACCCCTTTTGCCATCTTTGGCTAATCTATCCATTCTTTGTTGAGCTATATGGTCAAGTCTAGCATGTCAAATATTCACATCAATATTTGTATCAAAATCAATCACAAAAGAAAAGTTAAATTATTGTATGAAATAATATCTAACATAATAAAACCATCTAACAAATATAGAGAGTCATAATAAGTTGTATCCAAATACAAACTCAAATTAATATTGTTAAAATTCAAAACAAATTTTAAACTAAGAGGAACTGTAATAGAAATCAAATTTCATCAAATATTAAGAGTAAAAAAGACATCATGTAGGATAAGGGTTTTTCCACCAAGCATGTATAGCTTACAGGTGCCAATTTCCCTTACTTCAATCCAAGAATTATTCTTACGTAGATTCATTTTGTTCCATATAAAATTTGACAAAAATCCATGAACGCGTTCATATCTTGTGCTACATGGTATGTGGTCCCTAAGTCTATAATCCACAAAGGATATAATTCACTCATTATAATAGTACTAGAAACAAATAAAATACTTTTAGCATCAAGTAAAAATACTTTAAGGGTTTGTGCTTTTTTTGGCTCGTTACATTTACGAACAAAGTGACCCCTTTTGCCATAGTTAAAACACTTAACTCATAGTTTATTTTTCTTAAGATGAACCTTTGGACCTTATCCTTGGCCGATTTGGCTATTCTTTGGTCTCTTAGGAACTTACTTTTTTTTTCCATCATGTGACCTACGCTAGAAACTTGAAGCTTCTTTTGAACTAAATGATGCCATTTAAGCATTAGCACTAAGCTTGGATGCTTTCATACGATCTTTTTCTAGTTGAAGATGATAGAAAACATCATCAAGAGTTTTTATACTCTCATTTTAGGTAAAATGCACCTTCATGTGCTCTTAGCTATGTGGGGATAATTACTTGAACCTATTGTTCATCTGTCAAAGTGTGGCCAGCCTCTTTTAGCTCACTTATCATGCTTGACATCTCTCTCACATGCTATCTCATATTATAATTAAGTCGCTTCTTATATATGTAAAACTTAATAGTAAGCTACCTAAGTTTGGTAATTGAAGTTACACCAAACTTTGCTTTCAAGGCATTCCATATCTTTTTGGCTATTCCATGAGATCGAAACTCGTGCGTAATATCATTCTCCATACTTTTAAGCAACATAATACATGTAGTGGAGTTTTTCTTTTTTCAAGCCTTATAAGCCTTTCGGTCATTCTTGTGTTGGGACATATTCTTTTTCTCGAGTTCATCAAGGACATTGTTTAAAACATTAAAAACCTTTTGTTCTTTAAGTACATATTGGATTTTCATACTCCAGATCTCATAATTGTCCCCATTTAGCTTTTCACCCTAAATAAAAGCTATTTCAAAGTATAATTTTACATTTGAGAGACATATGCACTAATAAATGCCTAGTATTGCACATTTCTCACTTTGTCACAATGTCACAAATAAAATAATGACAATCATTCACATAAAAATGAAACCAAAAGCTCACTATGTTCTCAATCAAATTCATTTTAATGTGTTTGATGATTACAATTTATTTCATTATACAAAATCAATCAATTATTCTAAGATAGAACAAATCAATCATCTTATAACTCCCACTAACCATAAGGTTACCAACATATACCAATAACATATATATTGATTTCACACAATTAAGTATTACAAAACATAATCCGAATCCACAAACATGTTCATAATATATATATATATACTTATTGAATGTTAATTAAACATGTTCCTAATCATTTCAAATGTCTTGTCTAAGAATATCAATAGATTTTAAAAACTCTTATTATAGTTTTTCATTCACATTGCCCATCTATGGAGGTCCAAGAATTTTGTGTTTCCCATTACGGAGACTTGGGTAGACTAAAAATGTTGCGCTCTTCTTTGCCCACATTCTTACATATTCTTTCACAAATCCTTAATTAATTTTCATACTTAAGATCAATCTCCATAAACATTTAGACAACTTTGAAAATTCTTTTGTCTAAGAGTCAAAAGTGTACCCATCAATATTTCATATTTGATCTGGTCATTTCTAATGTGCACGCAGCCACACTAAATTAATTCTTGGACATGCCATTAACCTTAATTATATTCCTCTCAATATCATTTTTTGGATACATTCAATATTGCATCAATTCCACCGTCAGCTTTACGAATCTAAAAAAATGCACTTATGTCCTCATAATGATAAGAGACCTCACGAAAACAATCATGATTTTTTATAACAAAATACAAAAGAAAAAATTATGAATTCATAAGTCAACACAAGTCAAAAAATGATTAAAACTCATCTCAATCATTCTTGTGTGATTTGACATCCCAAAGTCAATCAAGGATAATTTTTTAAAAATTTTTTTACTTAAGGCATTAAGATGCACTATCTAGAAAACCAAAAAAAAAAATTGATCAAAAAAAGCAAAACATCAATGGCATTTTCTTTTTTCTTTTTATTTATGTCAAGAATTATCACAACAACATTACTTATACCAAGAACACAAAAATTATGTCAACTTTTATAGATATTCGCATGTAAAAATATATCATGTTTTTTTATTATGAAGGACATACAAACAAATTAGAACACAAGCCAATTTTGCTATGATATCAATGAAAAATAAATTACATGCAAGATATATATACAAACATAATCATATATATGTGTGTATATATATATATACTTGTTTAGGGAAATAAAAACAAAAACTTGACTTGAATTATTAGTCGTTAAATAAAATCACATTTCAAAAATCATTCATTTTCACAATATAAATCCTTCAAAACAAAAATTTCTTTTGAAAGTTATAAAATACCTGCCCAATTACTCTCTCTCCTTTTTTGAATTGTTTTTTCTTTCGTTGTCGTGAGAAAACCTTCCCTTTTCTTTTTTCTTAATGGCCGAATGCCATTAATAGGGTTGGGCGGCATTTTTCTTATTTTGTAAACTGCCCAAGGCAGTATTTAATGCGAATGAGAAAGCAGTTTTGTAATGCAAGGATTGGGCCACCCGTTATGGGCGGACCTGAATCCTTTACTCTTAAATAGAGAAAATATAATTAGATGGATCAAAAGGCTATTGTAACATTATTTATTATAATTAGCCCAGTATTATATATTTGCACAGTCTCTTTTATTTGTTTTTCCAGATTGAGGGGGCTTCAATGCTTTGGGAGTCTGATCCAACGTGTCTTTACCACCTGCTAGAATGGACCATGAACGATTAAAAGAAAAAAAAAACAGGAACAAGCCTCGATTCTCTAATGACATCTTTGGAGCAAGGCCGAATGATATGATAATTAACGTTTTTTGTTTCTTTCACCATAGCATTTGGAGATATGATAATGCTGATATGATACTTTTGTCATTATCTAAAGACTGGAATTGGAATTCAAAGTCAAGCTTTATATAATTGGGATGGTGAAAGATAAATAGTAGACAAAGAAAAATCGTGTTTCTACTTTATTGGATGCTCTTTCCAACAACTCTAGATTTTTTTTTTTTTTTTGTTGAATTCAGCCTTGTGATCCGCAATCATCCAAATATATTTTGAGTTTTCTCAGAATTTATTATTTTGAAAACACTCAAAAATAATTATGTATTGGTCTGTTAGCATTTTGAAAAATGCTATTTGGTGCATGAAATTTTATCCCGTAATTCTTGGGGAGTTGCAATATCTGCTGGGTTTCTGTTTCAAAAAACAATTACGTACTGGTCTGGTAGAATAAATCAGCCTTCATCTGCAGATTAGGGAAGGGAAGGAAAATGATTTAACTCAAAAGAATATGAGAATATGACATGTTAACTACTGACAAACAACTCACAAAGGGCGTATGGTCCAGATAGAGAAAGGCTGTAAGACCAACACTTTCTCATAGGAGGGAACGCTACCGCAATAAGTAGGGTCAAGGATTGTTTGATTTTCTGTACCAACATTTCACATACTTCCTACCAGCCCTCAACGGTCACTCACAGCACAATTTCCAGAAAATTGAATCAGTCAAATTAGCATTCAGTGATTCACATCATTTCTACAAATATTAGGTTGATCACCTTTTATTAATCACTGGGGCAAAAACATACATGACCTCCAAAGGCGGATTTAAAATTCATTACATGGTTGACAGTTTACATACCACACAGTTCAGAGCAAGTGAAACCAGTAAAACTAGGGCTTGGTAAAAATAAAATAAAAACAACTCCAAGAGCTGTCATGGCAGACTACATAAATTGCTGCCATGGCCGAAGCCCGTGAAAAATAGGCACCAAACTTCAAACTGCCAAAAGCAACCATAACTACAATGACTCGAGACTTTCAATCCGCCCTTGAGGAAAACAAACCCAACCATCACGTGCAGAACATTGAGTAAAAAAACGTGAAAGACTCGGTAAAACCAACAATGGACAAACTACAGAGAGGGTACTGGAAGGACAATAATAGCAAAAGCTTAGCCCAAGCAGAAATCAACGAGGCTAAGCAAAAACACCATGCGCCAGCACCCAACAAACATAAAAACATAACCAACCGGAAAGATACCCTAAAATCCAGAACCCAGCAACTGTATTATCAGGGAAATTTGGCCATCACGAAACTAATACCCATTATTGGGATTCAAACTCTAATAACAGATCTCCAATGAAAGGAAACCCGTGAAAAAAGGAGGATGGCCATATTCCCTGGAAAAAGGGACCGAGTACTGGAAGATAGAAGACCCATAGCTGATGGACCCAAAAACAACACAAACAGCTACTACTAACAAACGCTACTCTGAGAGTTCTTGATTTGGTCAAAAACCCCTTTTTGTTGATAAAGCCAAACAAGGCAATATGTGGAGGGACCTATATCCATTAGTTCAGAAAAGGATATCACACCTCCATATCTGCTCTACAAGCAGGTCAACTGCACTGCTGCTGATTGCCTTGCATTGCTGTAGGTTTAACCCCAAGAGGGTCTGACCCAATTTTCCAAGTGAAGGCAAGCTTTTGTCTGAGATCATAGAGCAACCAGAAATAGAAAGTATCTGAAGATTGATCTGATTAGAACAAGCCAGAGCTGCAATTCCAGAATCAGTGATAGCACACTTGGAGACATCAAGATCACTGAGCAACTGACAGTTCTCCGCAATTGCAACCAAACTAGCATCACTGACTTTACAACCATCAAGATTCAGCATTTCTAGAGTCCACCCATGCGAATCAGCCATGATACAAACAACTTTGTCACTCAAATTCACACAACCACTCAGATTAACCTTCACCAAACCAGCCTCACAACTCTCAAGCAATGAGAGAAACCCAGCATCTGTTATTCCATGAAGCCCACTCAACTCCAATTGCTCCAGTTGAGAGCACAACTTCCCTAACACAACTAAGCTAGCATCACCAAAACCAGGGCAGTTACGGATGGACAGCGATCGAAGGGATTCACAAGGGGATAAAAGAGGCAATCCCAAGTTTAAGTCCTTAATACCCAAGCAATTCACAAGAGAAATAGCCTTCAACTTTGCACCACAGTTAAGAAGGGAACCAAAAAACCCAAATTGGGTGATCCTGTGGCACTCCTCCAGTTGCAAGCTCTCTAGTGAACTAGCTGTTTCGGCAAAAGACATCAATCCGTTATCAGATAAGAAAGAACATTTGCAGAGGCAGAACTGCTTCAAATTTGGGCAACCCTTTCCAACAGCTTCAAGTCCCAAATCTGTCACTCCACAGCAGGATGTAACAGTGAAAGATTTCAATTTCTGTAGCCCATGACCATTACCCATTACCCAGAAGCCCTTCTCACTCACATTTGGAAGGCTAGTGAGAGAAAGGTCAGTCAATGCCTTGCCATAGTGTCCAATAACAGCAAGAGAGACATCAGTAATGTTCAAGGCCTGGAGCTTTACTTTTGTGAGGGAATATGAGGCTGAAGACAACAGGCTTGCAATTCCTTGATCTCCAACAAAGGGGCAATCTTTAATTGAAATAGACTTTAGATTCGGACAGCAGCGTGCTACAGCTTGGAGACCTTCATTCCCAATGTTTGCACAACCCTCAATGGTCAGATCATTCAAATTAGGGCAGCTCTTTGCAACATAGAGCAATGACTTATCTGTAATTGCAGGACAGTGGCAAAGGTCAAGCTTCTCTAGCTGGTGACACCCATCAGCAATCTCACACAGACCTTCATCTCCAACAGAAGACAAATTCCACAAGGAAAGAACCCTTAGAGAAGGGCATCCACGGGAAATGGCCCTGAGGCCAACAGAAGTCACTCCACGCCTGGAATTGCTACCTCGAATAAAAAGCTTGCCCAATCCTCCACGACTAGCAGTTCCGACAGAAATAGCAGCAAGTCTAACATCTGTTGCTTTCTTCCCTTCCAAACTCCTAGAGAGATATCCATCACCCTCAAAATCATGATCTTCAACCTCAGAAACAACTCCATCCTTCTTATCAATACCCTCTTTCCTGAGATTCAAAGCTTGGTTGGTCTTGTTGTCACTGATTTCATCACTGCAGATGTTGCTTACAAGTGTAAGCCAGCGCTTGGAAACACAAGCACAGGCACTCCTCTCTTGGCCTCCAGGTAATCGTCTGAGGATTTCAAATAAGCATTCATCAGGGAGAACCTCAATTGATGGTTTCTTCAGCTCAAACCTCTCTCCAGAGAGAACAAAAGGGGCACCGATGCAGGACCTCTTCCAAGGAGGGAAATATGCATCCACATGACGTCCAAGGGACAAAAAGAGAGTTGACTCCTTGGGGTTTGGGTAAATTGACCCCCTAGCGGAAATATCATCACTTCCTGAGAACCAAGATCAAAAAAGTTGATGAGAACAGAGAATTCTACTAAAATAATATAAGAAAATTGAATTAAAGAACTTGAAAGATATTTCTGATTAAATAGCAGTTGATCAAGATATTCTTGACCACATACAGCTCTCAAAAACCACATCTCTACCAACATTATGTCCAATAAACATAAACAAAATACAAAGGAACCCAGGAATATTATCTAGGAGGCCAAACTTTAGGTTCCAAAGGTTCACACCAAAAGCCCCCTAAGGCAAACCCACAAGATCCATCAACCAGAAGGAGCTCTGAATCCATAACTCATAAATCCATCTCAGATGTAGTCCCACAGAACCATATATTTCAAAACAAAAAATTTACAGCCCAAAAGAAAGTCATCTGAACCTTAAATCCCAACCGATCCGTTCAAAATAGACCTGATCTACAACCAAAACGCCTCTATCGTTTTCAAGCTGAAGAAGCATAAAACCAAAAACAGATTCAGCTGAGAAACATGCAAAGCTCCTATACATCATCAGACTCCCATATAGTAGACTGTAAAGGTCAACCGATAAGCCCAAAAATAATAAGAGACAAAAAATAAAAAATCAATCAGATCAGTTCTAAGGGCACCTGATCTACAACTAGAACTACTTCATAGCCTCCAAGTCTTAAAATTAACAAAAACCAATAAATAGAATCACCTAAAGGCAACTAAACTTCTTCCTTAGATCAACAAGAATTCACTAATTCACAACCAAGACTCACAATTCCGGTTTAAACTAATCAACAAAACACCATTAGAAAACAAATCTTTCGTAACATCAAAATTGAAATATATCAAACGCTATTAAAATCATCCATGATACTTTACAATAATAATAAAGATTAGTACCCCAAGTTACTTTACAATAATAATAAAGATTAGTACCCTAAGTTACCAAAGATAATCCAAAAATCTAAAAATTTGTTCAAACAAAAAAAGGGTATAACTTTATCACATCAGATATATAAACCAAGTTCAGCAAAACCGAAAATCAAAGATACCCAGATAGGAAAAAAAAGCTGAAAAAAAAAAACCAAAGCTAAAAACTAGCAAAGATGAGGAGTTTACCGTTAAGAGTAAAGAGCTTTGACATAAATACAGGTCAAAAAACCCTGGGCGGTCAAATCTGCTCTGCCCTCCGCGCAAAAACCCTCCAAAGAGAGCAAGAAAGAGAGGCCCAACAAGGAAGAAGGCTGAAACGTCACCGTATGTAGCTTTAAGACACGAATGCATGAGAGAGATTGGACCTAGAAGGACATGAAAACCCTATCAGATAGGGCAAAAAGAGAGAGAAAGAAAGAAAAAAAACCGTGGAGAAAGAGAAATGAAACATTGATAGCAAGGTAAAAGGGTTGGTTTTAATACGAGAGGAGAGGTTAGGTGTGACGATGCGCAGGATACAAACCAAATGCAATGTATTTGAGCAAAGAAGTGGGGTTTCCTTGGTAATATTCTCTCTCCTCCCTTACCACTCCAATACGGCTTACCACTTATGCCTCCGTTGGTTTTTTTTTAATTTCTCTTTCGTTATCACTCAATATTAGGATGTGAGCTATGAGTTTGAATTAATATAATATTAAATTTAAATTTAAATTTAATTAAAAATTTAATATTTAAAATTTAATTTAAATTTGATCAAATTTTATTTTTTAACTTGAGTTCGATTCGAAATAAAAATCGAATTATTTAAGTTCGTTCAATAGATTCGATTAATATGTAAAAATAAGTTCGATTCTTATATTCGATAAAAATTTAATTATTTGTATTCAAACTTAAGCTTAAATTCGAAATATTTATTAATTAAAATAATAAAAATATATTTAAATATAAAAGTTCAATTAGATTCACGAATTACTCGAGTCGAATAAAAAAATATTTAAATTCATCTCGATCGATGAGTCAAACTACTTCAGTTCGAGCTCGACAATAATCAAACCGAATTAAAATTTTATTCGAATCAAACTCGAATAACTTACGAATATTAATATATCATTTATACTCTTAATTTGTATACTTGATTAAGCGAAGCTTAGTATTGCTTGTCAAATCCTCTATAGGATAAGCTAGTTTTAATTTTCTTTTTTCATAATTAAAAGAATTTTATACCAAATCATAATCTTATATAAATATATCAAAGTCAAAATTTTTAACTAAAAAAATTTTGATGTAAATAATTTACATTTTCGACATATGGATAATCTAAAAAATTGACACATGTTAAAAATTAATTATACATTTTAAATTTAAAATTTAATGATAAAATAAATTTAATTTAAAATATCTTATTTTTATTATTATAAAACATTTATAATAATAAACATTTAATTTAATTTAAAATTTTTATTAACATTATTTATTTTTAAACGATTAATTGTCTAAAATAAATTAAAAATCAAATCAAGAGTAATAATATATTACATTGAGAGTAATTTATACTTAATAATTAGACTAATCAAATATAATATGCACTAAATACGCTTGAAAGAAAAAAATTTTAAAATTAATGTAATAATAATAATAATATTAAATTTTTATTAAATGATAGTTTTTACACATTCCATAAATTACTCTCGTTACTTTCATTTTTAGTTTTTAGTCAACTTATTATAATAAATATTAAATATCTTAAATACCTTATCAATATTAAATATCTTGAACACCTTATCAATCTTATATCTTATCTTATATAAATATATAAAAATCAAAACCTTTGATCAAAAGAAAATATTCAATGTGGATGTTTTCTTTTTTATACATGTACAATCATGAATAAACACTATGTGTCATCGAATAAATATATTTTATTTTATTTTATGTATTTTTAATTTAAAAAAATTAATATGCTTAATTTGATTTGATTCATTTGTAATATAAAAAAATAAATTTATTTAATTTAGATTATTTCATTTACTCTCTTTTAAATATTCATTACTCTTACCTTATATAAATAAGTTTCAATTCAATTTGTAATCAAAGTTAACTATTTTTTACCATTAAAGATAATAGTATGGGATGTTTGTTCTATAATTCTATTATGTTCTGTCTCTGTTTTTCCTTTTTTTTTTTTTATTTGTTTCGATTGATATGTTTCTTTTTTATCTATTTGTTTTATTCCTTTTTTTTTTCAAATTGTGATTTCTTTTGTTATTTTTTAATATTATAATTTGCTTTTTAGCAAAAAAAAAAATACCTAATTTGCTTTTAGTTTTTGAAACAATATTAGTATAATATACAAATATGTTAGTATGCCTTAGAAATTAATCTAAACATTTCATACACAATATAAAATGACTTGCTTTATTTTATCTTTATATTTAACTTTTGGTTTTATTTTTTAGTGAAGTAATTTATAATTTTTATGTGCAAATGTATATACATATGCTATGTGATTTATGTTAACTACGAAGTTTTATTACTTTTTTAAATTACTAATAAGTTGTTACCATGAACATATTTGATCTCAAATACCATAGTAAATGATTACTGTCATGAAAAAAAAATGATATGATACATAAAAGAATGTCTAAATAAATATCGATGGCTTACATAAATGAGTCTTGCATGGGGTTAACAATTTTTAAATTTCAGTTATTTTAATACCAAATGAAATTCAATTGTCTTATACATATAAATGAAAACAAAATTTTAATTCGTTATGTAAATTATAAATGTATTGATTTCTTAAAGATTATTATATGTAATGAGAATTATGCTAATTGATTTACTTAGTCATTTTTTTTTAAAATTCAAAATGAAATTGAAGTTCACATTAAGTAAACAATCTCTATAAATTATATCTAACTAAACTAATTGGTATCTTTTAAGTTTGAGAAATGTGTTAGAAATATGTTGGCATTCATTGAAGTAAATTGAACAATAGAGATAATAAATTATTGCATTACTAGAAATTTATTATTTACTCATCAATGGGCCTTGACTTTTTGGAAAAATGGATCCAATAATAAAAAAAATTGTGTTAACAAGCACAAAGTTTTTAAGAGTAAATTTTTTTTTTAAAATTAAAGTAAAAAATCAAATTTTTATATTATGTTAGTATTGATCAAATTAAATGTTATTGACAAAGCAAAGTTAAATGAAATTTTAAAACTCTCAAGAGATTAAGAGGTAATAATTGATTTATATGAATGATTTATACAGTAAATATAATATTACAATCATTTTCTTATAAAATGGCCAATGTTTTTGCCTTTTTTGAATAAGTTACAATTCAAGTTGCAATTAAAATTTAATTTTTCATTTTTATTTACCTTAAATTTATCAAAATTAAATTCCATTTTTAACTTTTAACATTCAACATTGATACTAAATAAAAATAGGAGTTTACTTTGATGTATTGCCATTTAATAATTAATATTGAAAAATTTTAAATTTAAATTATTATCAAAAGACCAAATTTAAATTTTATATATTATCTTTCTTGTAAACACCTCATTTTTGTTCTGGAATATTTTCGAAATTGAAAACAGGCTTTAACCATAATTAAAAGATTTTTGAGATTTAATTTCAAAATCAATTCACATTAAAATTAAATCAAATAAAATCATAGATTTAAGAAAATGGACTTAGCATGAATTCCTATAAAAATCTATGATAAAAGCAAGAGGGGGAAACGAAAAAAAAAAAAAAACTATCGTCCCATTGCCATTGTCACTAGCATTTTCCCCATTCCATGATACCACTAATACAATACCTTCATTTCCATACCAAGCCATCCTTATTGCCAATAGTCCTAACCTACAATTCTCAACGGCAAGATACCATCAATTTCAGATAGACCAAAACCCAAAACACCATTCACAAACCATCCAAAAAAATCTTCACTTTCGCTAATGGTCAAAATTTCCCTAGAAAATCCCCAAACAAGCCACGTCCAGCTATCCACCAACACTGAATCTCACGATGTCAAAATTGAAACTCAAATTTAAACCGAAACTAAAACGAAATTGAAAAGCGAAAACGAGCTGTCCAAAAAGCCATTGTCTCTGATACTGGCTGGAGCTCCCACGCAACGTGATGGCATCGATTTTATTGAGACTGGGAGCTATAAAGATCATTGAGAGCACTAAAAAATTATGCACCCAATGGCGCAACATCTGCAAAGATCCATCCATGTGGCAATCCATCGACACATGGAATTCTAGTGACTCACATTTCTATGATCTCAAGAAAATATGCACGCATGCTATTGATCATAGCTGTGATGGTTTGGTCAATATCAATATTGAGTACTTTGGTACATATGAGCTTCTCACCTATATCACTAAAAGGATGAACTTTTGGATTGATGTTTGAAGTTTTTGCATGAACCTGACGATCCGTGTGAACATTCGCGTTTCAAGCCTGATCCAATCGTAAGTTTTTTATTTTATCTTATTTTTTGTTTTGATTTTATTTTATTATCATTTAATTTTTAATTTTTAATTTTTTTTATTATTATTTTCATCTTTAATTATTATTTTACTCTTTACTTTAAATTAAAAATTTTATTATTTATTTTATAAAATACCTTTATGAATTTTATTTTATTTTATTATTTATATAAAAAAAAAAGTCTTTTCAAATAAATTCATGAATCCTATCAAACTATTAGAGATTTTTTTGTGAATTTAAACTTTATGGAATCTACCAAATTGTTGGAGAATTTCATAAATCAATTACAAAAAAAAAATAATTTTTGTATTTTATCCTACCAAACTATTAGCGAATTGCATTTTAAGTTAAATCTTACTGAACTATTAGAAGATTTAATGAATTTTCTCAAAGATAAAATTTTATAAATATTTTTATAATAAAATCTCACTAAACTATTAAGATATATGCATCAAAGTAAATCCTATCAAACTATTAGAGGACTTTACTAATTTTTTTGAATAAAATATATTAATAAATTTGATTACGGAGCCTCTTCAGGGTGGAACACTAGTCTCCATGAATACTTTTGAGATGAAAAAATTATCTTAAATTGCTATCAAACTATTAGAGTAATTTTAGAATTAATTTTTAATATTAAATATGTTGGTAAAATATAAACATATTTAAGGCTTAGATAATTTGAAATCAAACTGATACCATCCTTTGGATAGGCACTGTGGGGTGTGCTATAAATTTTCTCATATGTAATTGTACTACCGAATTTAAAATCTAGTTTCATGGATCAGAATCTACTATTTAAATATACTTAAGTCAATTTTAGGACTCCTTTTTAAAAGAGACAGATTTGATTAGGTGGTTAATCACATCTTAACAAAAGAGATTAGTGGCAACTCTTAAAAGCTATGTCTAGTGATAGGTCCATGAATCTATACATTATGACAGTTTGGTGATTCCACTAGAAAAAATGAGAGTCAGGCCAATAAATGATTTCTTACTATCCAATCCTTGCTTAATAAATTTGAGATTATTTTCTTTCTTTCCTATTTTTTTCTTTCCTTTGCTTATATTTTGTTTAGCAATTC